TTCTGCTTCGGTATCCCCTTCAGCTTGGTACTTGCGTAGGTTAGCATAAAATGCATGGTGGTTAAAGTTCGGTGTCTCTTTGGTGTCTGGCCATCTCGATTCATGTGAAACCAGCGGCTTAATTATCGCATTATAATCGATAATTCTATCATCCAAACTGGCAACATCAAGCTTATTATCCTCAGCGCCCTCTCCATCTTTGCCACCACCACCTACAAGGGGAAGGGATCGGACGATTGTGTTCAAAGACCACCTCGACTCCTCTTTTTCCAGATGGAAAGTATCATTTTCCCCCTTAACGTAACTTTCGCCTGCTTCCTCGGTAATAATTTCCTTCCAGTCCTCTAATAACTCGGACACTTCAATGTGATCTATAGATGAAAGATGAAGACGAGAGAGGGAAGGCACGGAGGATTTTTCTTCATTGATTGACATCCCTAGCTTTACCAAGCATGCCTTTAGGAATAATGCCCGCATTTCATCATCTTCTGATAGTGCCTTGACGATATTAGCATAGTCAGGCCCACCAGCACTTGGATCCAGATTAACAGCAGCAAATCTAATAACTGGTTAGAACCGCCACAAATACTCTAGGAAATAGCTTACTCTGGGTGGGGCCCAGTGAGAAGGGCAGCACCTTCACCAATCTTGCAGTATACCACTGCAGCCGCTCCGTCACCCCCGTCCACATCCATGGGATCGGTATAACTTGCAATGACTTCAACGCCTTTATCTTCAAAGCTTTTTGCATCAACAAAGACGCCGCCACCATTGTAGTATGAACGAAATGTTTTGGATGTCATACTGCCTTGGAAATTTTCATTTTCAACCCGCAGTTCTGCTGCTTTAGCTCCAACTTCGCTTTGATAAGCAAAACCTTTGAATGCACATCCACGGCATGTCCCCGGGAAGAATTGTAGCTCTCGAGAGCCTACGACCTCCATGTTTCCATTTCCAATCTCAAATTCACATCTCGAACTTCCATAATAACCACCTGCACATAAGCCAAGATATGCACCACCTCGGCGAACATACTGAGCGATACGTTGATTGCCTTCTCCATTCAAACTCCGGCAATAACCTAGATCAGCCCCTCCTGGAAATACAAGGAGGGCACAGGAAGCTGTCCACGGTTCTTTGAGGATAGCTGATTCCGTCACTGGGATCACTGCATAATTAGGAGATAATAAACGACGCAAAGTGTATAGGCAATGGCGAACGGACTCAATTGTGCTTCCATTGCCTACTGATATTTAGAAGATTTCTCCATATCGTACATCGACTCATACCTGAATAAACTAATACATTGAGCTTCGAACTCGTCATATCTCATACACCACTCTCAACCGAGGTCTTAGCAGGTTTTGCAGTACGGTAAGCTATTGCCTGATTATTGTCCAGATAAACTTTGCAACCCTTCCAACCGAAGTTCAAATCCCAAGATGTCAAAGAAAGAATCTAATACAAAGATAGCTACAGCAACAGGAGATGACGATGAGCCAGACGAATGGTGCGAACCCCAAATCCAAAGCTTTAGCTTTACACCCGACACTCAACTTAAATCACAGGGACAAGAGGATCTTTAGCACAGGGTGTGCGGGTGCGTACCCCAATGAAACCAGGTACTCTAGAACTTGCTGTAATTGAGACTCATATGCAACAGATGAAAATATGAAGATGACCGATTGTTATTTTGAAAAGAAGGACTGGAGACTTTGTAAAGAAGAGGTAAGAATACCAATTTAGCGACGGGAAGTTTTATATCACGTGTACCGTATATTTGACCTGCAGAAGGTAAAATACTAATCTAAGGCTTTTGGCTAATATCTTTTATTCTCTTATTCTATAGCTGGAAAATTTCAAAAAGTGCTGGAAGTTACAACAAAATGACAAGAGGACGTCAATGAAAGATGCGTGATGATAATCATATTTGAAGCTCGCAGAAATGCCGAGAAGGATGTACTTGGGTTTTGCTACCTTCATTGTATAATAAAATCTATAATTCCACTCTAAAGTCGCATCTTAATGTACAAATTACACAATACTTCTGAAAGTTTGAAATTTAGTGAAGTGTAGTCATACGGTACCAGAATACTACCTTGGCGAACCACTTGCGCCTTCATACTGTACGTGTAGCCTTTAGATCGCCTCGCGAACATTTCTTCAACGTATCTACCATACAACGTCAATCATGGCCACAATAGCATGCAGGGCATCCCGATCTGGCTTATCATGCTCTACATCATCACAAATCTCTCGATGTACCAGGGCAAATTGGACACAGCCGAGAATATTAAGTAATGGCAAAGCTGCACCTCTATCGCAGCTAGGACTTCAATCTAGACCCATCTCGACCCCAAAGCGATCTTACGCAACACCCAGCACGGCCTCTAAACCCAGCGAACCCTCCAAATACGACCCAGCCTCGAAGTCTAAACCTATTACCACATCCAAAGATTCGCCATCACCAATTCAAGATCTAACGAGCGGGCTAGCAGATGAACCTTTGATTCTAGATGAAGGTAGCCGGCAAGTTGACTGGACAAGATCCTTCCACGGCCTATCAGCACAACCATTCTCTAAAGAAGCCGCGGATATATTGCTCGCACCAATTCCATTCGATGATGTGGAAGTCAAACCTGACGGAATTATATACTTACCGGAAATCAAATATCGAAGGATATTGAACAGAGCTTTTGGACCTGGAGGTTGGGGATTGGCTCCCAGAGGAGAGACAATAGTTACAGAGAAGAGCATTACCAGAGAATATGCGCTCCTTGCTCATGGAAGGTATGTGGTGCTACTAGGCTTCTCGATTGTTTTATGAAGTGGCGTTCGTTCTAACTCATAGATTTATTTAGGCTAGTATCTATTGCGCGAGGCGAACAGGACTATTTCTCTCCAGAAGGCATACCGACTGCCACTGAAGGATGTAAATCAAATGCTCTTATGCGATGTTGCAAGGACTTGGGCGTTGCCAGCGAGCTATGGGATCCGAGATACATACGAGCCTTCATGAAAGAGAAGGCGAAACAGGTCTGGGTTGAACATATTCCTTCGAAGAAGAAGAAGCAGATCTGGATTAGAAAGGATGATGAAGTTAGATACCCATTCAAAGAAAGTAAATTTGGGGCGTAGAGATAAATAGGTGATATGTAAAGGATCACAGGGCCAGGTGCACTTTAGCATGACCAAACCTTACAGCCAATGTATATTGCAAGGTTTATTGTACTAATATAATCACAAAGCTGTTCATGACCCATCAAAATTATATCTAAGGGATGAGTCTCTTCTACCTGAAATTATACTAGTCTCTACTAGAAAATATGTGCACAACTCCACATGGTACATATATATGCACACGCACACCCATATGTATGTATATTTGAACAGATAGCTAAGATTAGGAGTGGCCATAGATGTCCAAACCCATAAACAGCGCCATGGTGTACGTATACTCGGCCTGCATTCCCAAGCCATGCAATCTAAATCCGAGTGATTCTAAAATCGGGTTCCATCTAGTAATGGTAGTTCCTATGAGTACTGTACATGAAAATAAGGATTAGGAGTCAATGCCGGTACTCCGGCCTCTTGCCTCACGGTCCCTACTTGAGTGACTACTTGGATCAGAAGAATCCCCGGACGTGCCAGACCAACCCCAAGGAAGCCAAGCACCTCCCGAGTCTCTGTGGCCATGTCTGTTAGCATTCTCTCCCTCCGATCCGCTCTCGGCATCGATCTTTTCAAAATCTGTTTCGCTTCTACTCTTGCTGAGTCCACTGAGGGCACTCTTTGGTCTTTCTGAGGTCCCACGTGGACCACCGCCAGATTGAATTGCAGCGGCTTCTCTATCCAACGCAGACAGAAGAACGCTGAGACGTTCTCGTTGTGCTGCTATGAATGTTACACGTTCTTCTCCACGAATTGTAGACGGGATAAGAGAGCCAGAGCTGGTTTCTCGATCTGGAGTGGAAGCGCTTGCTACAGCGCTAACTGCAGAAGCAAGGAGCGAGTAAAAATCGGGCGATGTGCCTGTTGATCCCCCATAACGCGGAGTGGTTCCGGATCGGGCAGAAGGCATATTGAATCGGGAGATGAGGCTCTGGGCGTAGCTGAATGTAGATGGTGTTGGGGGAGGAGAAGGCTGCCGAGGAGGCAGACCAAACACATTTGTCTTCACAAATTCGATAGCTTGGTTTAAATAGTCAAGCCCGGCCGCCATCGCGCGCTCGTGTGCAGTAGATATAAAATCGTCAATCACTAACTCATTCTCCCGGAGCCATGGATTTAAGTACTCTTCATATAGGTATCGAGCACCTTGCGTTTGTGGTAAAATAAGATAAAGAAGAAATATAAGTCGGAACCAGCCGTAGAAAGGGATCCTATGGGTAAAATTGAATTAGAGAAGATCGTATGGAGCTTACGGAGCTGTTCAAGACCTACCAAAAGAGTATAAACCATAGCCATGATTCAACTAGCAAGACACATGCCAGAATAACCCAGTATATAAGCCATGGCGCAAGTAATGCGGGATCAGAGGTTTTGAGGGCTTTATATGATGCGAAAACTGGGAATAGAAAGGTCGGAAGAGAACTAGTATCCAGTTAGAAAAGCCAGGAGTAGCTACAGGCGGGGGCAACAATCGCGGGGTCCTCATACGATAAGAGATTTGGAAAGAGGTCAAACATGATGCAGCCGAGGGAAAAATTACAACGGACCTCTATTTTAAGGTCCTATGAAGATAATGTATATCTGAATTGCTGTATTTGTCGGTCAGGCCGTATACAGGATGTGACAAAAGGAGCTGCAGAAAGGCGGAGGTGAGCACGGTGTCATCAGCTGTGCTCCAGGCAGCGCGAGCACAGCCGTACGAGCGGGTACGGTGTACCTATGCACTTTATCTTATCTAAAACTAGCACCCAGCATCTTGTACTAGCAACCCTCTCACGATGATTACTTGTGAAATTGGGCCAAAAAGAAACTATCCCGCAAAAAATAATTGGACACTGCAGGAATCGAACCAGCGACCTTTCGCAACTATGTATCCTTGGATTGAGATTCAACGTCAGAATGCAAAGCGAACATTATACCACTAAACCAAGCGCCCATTTATGATAGGTCACAAGATTATTTGCTCCCATTAAACCTGGCATTATATCATGCCCTTGTGAAAGGCTGCTTCTGTCGGATTGTTATCTCTCTTGTGAAACTTTGCAACCAACAGCACGTAAAAGGTTATGGACGTTCTGCACGTAGGTAAGCTCGGTGTGGACGATGCGGTCATTTCTCTGTTTCATTGAAACAGTAGCCTTGTCAAGCCACAGCCTCGCATGACCTGATACCAGTTCCAGGTACCGAGGTCCTCCAAGGTGGCTTGCCTTTCCGTCCTACGTAGTGGACCAGGATTTGTGGCGGAATTGTATGGTTCACCGATAGCAGGATATTGAGCAACATCAGGCCATCAACTTCAAAAACCTCGAGCCATCAGGGAGGAAATCGGTAAGAAAGGCATAAATTCGTTGCCTTGTGCACTCATTTTTCATTTCACATACAGAAATAGGCTAGGAACGTGTCATAAAGTGCAGTACCAAGATACTGCTTGAGCCAAGACACTTTCCAAAACATCACAACTATGTGCATCGTCCTCCTTACCACAGCCCATCCTTCATATGCGCTGATCGTCTGCGATAATCGTGATGAGTTTATTCTTCGACCAACAAGCAGACCTCACTGGTGGTCTGCTCTAGACCATCAGATTCTCTCCTCTCGCGATCTTCAACGTGCGGAACAAGGAACTTGGCTGGGAATCACAAACAAGGGAAACTTCTCGGTATTAACAAACTACAACGAAACGGATACTCATGATGAGTTACACCCAGTCCAAGGACAACGGAGTAGAGGCAGCATGGTCACAGCATGGCTGACAAGCCCTGACGAGGAGAGTGTACAGCAATTTGTCTATCGATTATTGGAGAGAGAAGGTGTGAAAGGAGTTGGGGGCTTTACGGTCATCTGTGGAAAATTGCGGAAGAGAAACGAGGGAAATCAACCGCAAATAGAACCCTTAGCTGTCATTTCTAATAGATATGGCACCGCGAAGGATGTGCCCTGGGTTGCTGGAGAGAGAGACGAAATATATGGTCTAAGCAATACCTCATATGACGATCCAGATGTCTGGCCAAAAGTCAAAATAGGTAAGGAGAGATTATTGGAGGCTGTTAATGAAAATGTGAAACTCGGGCTAGGAAAGGACGACTTAATAGAGAAGCTGTTCGGTGTTCTCGATACAAATACTCTCCCAGATGCCCGGGGCAGAGACTTTGAGGAAATGATTCCTGAACTTCGAAACTCCGTGTTCATCCCAACGCTAGGAACTCCTCTACCTTCCAAACAAACTTGCGAGAATAATACAGCTGCGAAATTAACGAATGGTGTTAAGGAAACGAAATCAGGCGATAGTAAAATTAGAGGGGCATCAGAAACGGAGTTAACAGCAGAAGAGCGACCAGAAATGCAATCAAACTCTAATGGTGTAATGTCTGGCCAATATGGAACACAACGACAGACTGTCATTCTTGTGGATTGGGATGGACATGTGACATACACAGAACGTTCATTATTTGATCCGGAAGGTGTTCCTATAGAGAGAACCAAAGGAGATATGCAGTTCGAATTTGAGATCGAGGAATGGCATGGGACAGACAATTCTACGGCATCATTAGAGGGCAAACAGTAAAGGAACATTTGAGGTCTGTTAACATTCTATTGTATTGTATTGTATCAGTCTCAGTGATACCACATTTATCTAATTTTATTCATCTTGAGCAACCAACGTCCGTATGTGGGCTTAGGTACTATGGTTTCACAAAAAATGAGTATTAGCATCAGACTGAGTATATTGCTTATTACTTAGGTTCTGTAGTCCTTGTTCGAAGTTACCCCCCAAGATCATGGCTCTCCTAATTTGATACATGAATCTTTCTCTAAAACCGATTGTTCCATTTACCATTAACGCTTCCAACTTATTTGCTGAAATGGCTCGCTTTACAGATCTGTTTCTGTTACATTTCACTTGAATTCTGAATCCAGCCATGTTGCTATTAGCGTCTCTGCCTAAACACTCCATCACATCAACTAGACTCTGTCGGCATAATGATACACAACTGTTTCATTAAATTATTTGCTTAGGGTAGGAAAAGCAAAATGACCAACACCGGAGATAAAGTCCCGGTCTCAAGGAAGTACATGGCATCATTTCCTTACTTACCGCCCTCAGCTTCGATGTCTCAAATCCCTACTTCAACACCAATTAGATCTCCCACCAACGGATCGTTAATATGCGACTCAAAAAATCACCCTACCCCAAGTATACCTCGACGACACCGACGAATTCTTTCTAATTATGCAACCTCAATATCCAGAATTGGATGCTGAGCATGCAATTCTGGATCAGTGCCTCTCATCTCAAGTATCGAACTAGGAAGCACGCATTCAACAAGAATACCTAGCCCAATTAGAAACCTTGATTCTATCCAATATCACGAGGCGGTCTATTCAAGAAGTCTCATTGGGAGAGAAAAGGTACACTTTGTTGGAGTAGTCACAGTAATGATAGAGCTAACTAGCACATTAGGATTTAGGAAACGGAAACTCACAATCCCTCAGTACTCCCAATGCTCCAACTAGCAGAGCTCATAGATCATTTCTCCCAAAATCTAGAACAGTAAGCAATATGCTCTCTGCGCTCACCTCGTCGACGTCACGATCTTCTACCTGCTCGGATAACTGTAAGAAGGTCAAGGGTTTCTATAGGAGTCATTCACCTGAATTCATAAACAGTGCCACGGAAAACTCATCAGCAGAACTGGCGGAAGTAAACGCAGTTGAAGACGTTCGCTACGTTTACACAGCGCAGCCTTCTTCTTACTGGTGTGGCCGTTTCCAGTCAATTCATGATACTTTTAGAAACGAGACACTTCAAAACGCCAGAGAAGACAATTTGGAAACCCAAGCTATAGTTCCCCGCCAGAGTTTTGCAGAACGAACAAAGCGAGATCCACCGCAACATACAGAGGCAGAGAAGGGGATCAATATGATTTTTGCTGAGTTAATATTGTACTGCGTTACGGAAGAAGCAAAGAGAAGCCTTTGGGATTGGCAAGTTAGTTATGCTAAGAAAACTCGAAATTGGAAACTGATCAGCCAAACATCCATTCGTGTAGCCCCTGGCAGGAAGTGGGCTAGTAAGATTGCTAGAACAGTGAGTGAAGGGATAGGAAGTGGTTCTAGATCTAGACTGAAGAGATGCGTTACTGATACAGAGTTACATTCGAAGGCCTGACAATGGAAATTAGATTTAAACCCGTATTAGAGCACGTTATCATGGCTATAGTTGTTATCGAACTAAGGTCGAGTATTGAATTGTATTCTAGACCGTGGCTTCTAGTATTAATTTTAATCAGTCTATGATATGATTTTATCCTGAATGGGCCGATATAATAAACAAAATTAGGAAGATCTAGAAAGTTGTAAATTACCAACCCTATTATACGCCATGCCTAACGAGTCACGGAGTTTGCCTAGTATTGGTGTTGCCGGATACACGGTTTCTCCTCCTAAATCCCCTTTCTTCCGCCCCACCGGAATGGATGAATAGCGAGTTCTTTATGCCATTACATTAAGTGGAGTACAATCATGTGCTGTCGAGCAAGGGCATGACGAGGCTAATAAGATATTTATATACGGCGACATACCCCATTGGCGGGTAGAAACTGCTAAGTCTACGGATAATAATTCCCCCACACTTCTCTGCCGTAACTCCATCTAGCTGTCGCAATTCCTAAGCTGAGAGTGCGGAGTTCTATCTTCCGTTATTAATTACCCCCTCAGGCTATGCCTGTTCCTGAGCAGCTTGATCCCGGCTGGTACAGGAAATATATGCACTTCGTGAAGATGTAGTAAGGGCTATTTCATTAATTGTTCAATTTCATGGTATATATCACTGTTTTCCTTCTAATTTTCTTGTTTCCTTTGGGTCTTAGGAGGTCACTGTCTAGCAAGAATAATAGTCTAGACTGCATGCTATCGTTATTCATATCCTATCTCCATTGCTTTTCTCAATTGAATTGATACCATGCACTTGAAAATACTAGCTGGAGCAGTTTTCTTTTCCAGCGTTGCTAGAGCTTCGCTACAACATAGAGATGGGTGCAGTAAAGACAACTGTTTGCGAGCGTTCATTAAGTCTTCCGCTGCTGCTGCATCCTTCTGTGCGACGCCAACTCCAACTGCTACTCCGAGATTCGTATCTTCCTGTTCCAGTGATCCTTCTAGAATTGCAAGTGCTTGTAGCTGCATCGCTCCGGCGGCTTCAACTACTAGTAGCTCACCACCAAGCTCCTCCACCTCAAGTGCCCCAGCTTCTTGCTCTACTACAAGCAATTGGCCAGGTTGGGCAGGTATTAAATATACATTCATCTTGTAAGTGATCGAAACCAAAATATCAAATTTCGGAGAAGCTAATAAAGCAGTGGTGACTCGTATACAACCACGGGTTTCAACACGAGTCTCACTCAGCCATCACCCGGGAATCCATTAGGAAATCCAACGTATCCTGGATATACCGCCTCCAACGGCCCTAACTGGGTTGATTATCTCACAGTGGAATACAACTCTTCTCTTCTTCTCACTTACAACCTTGCCTATGGCGGAGCGACTATCGACAGTGCACTTGTTGCTCCTTATGAACCAACAGTACTCTCTGTTGCAGAACAGGTCGAAGATGAGTTCTTTCCGGCTTATGGATCCCATAAGTCGCCAGCCTGGTCTTCAGATAACACACTCTTTGCAATATTTGATGGTATCAACGATGTCGGCAACTCTTACTATTACGGCACACCAACAACGACCACTCTCAATGCAGAAATATTTGCTGTCTATGACGGACTAGTTCAGATGCTTTACGATGCTGGAGGACGTAACTTTTTATTCTTGAACGTCCCACCAGTAGATCGTTCTCCCTTGATAACCGGCCAAGGGGCTTCAGCTGAAACACTAGAGAAGGCTGATATTACAGCTTGGAACGACGCAGTAGTTGCGATGGCACAA